TGTCATCTTGTAGAGCTTGCGTTGCTCTCTCTATCAAACAGTCATTTCAGTTCTAATTCAAAATTGAGGTGAGATTTTCACCATATGAAAAGACTTACGGGACAAACTAATAGAACCTTAATGTTTTGATTTCTTTATGGTCCCTTTTGCCTCTTCAGAAACTTTCTTTTGTAAAAGGAGTGTTGAGAGCCTTAATGTGAAGTCAGTTTTTCGCCGACCTCACGTTGACGACGGATGAGGGCGAGGCACAACGCTAGGGATGAAATGCTTCATCCCTAACGCTCTTTTCCTGAAGCAACTATGTTGCATATGGAGAAAAAACAAAAAACTAATGTTTTAGGGATTCTGTAGAGTTCTTTTCCATCATTCGAATCTTGCGACTGTTCAAACTAACCCAACACTCTGTGGGACTAAAAATCCTCATACAGACATTCAAGGCTTCCGCTCAAGTAATCCATCTTACGTCATTTCATCATCATCATCATCTCTTCAAAACACTAGTATTTGAGGAGCTATTCCTACTAGTGTTCTTTGTTCTGCTTGGTATCGTCATTTTTGCTGCTCTGGTCTATTATGCCGAACGCGTCGAGGACAACCCGGACAATCAGTTTGATTCTATTCCTGTAGGCTTATGGTGGGCGGTGATAACTATCTGTACTATAGGATTTGGAGATTTGGTTGGTAAATCTTTCATCTTGAAAAGAACAACTCAAGCTGATCTAGGTTCCAAAAACATACCTTGGTATGCTCGTCGGCTCTATATGCGCTCTCATGGGTGTACTAACAATTGCATTACCTGTGCCTGTCATAGTCTCCAACTTTGCTATGTTTTATTCCCATGCACAGGCAAGGTGAATGTGATTCAGAATCGGGGTATCACATAGATTTCCTCAAACAAAACTACTGCAGATCTAAGTTGCCAAAGAAGAGAAGGCGGGTTTTGCAACCTCATGAAATCAAGCCTATAGTTGGCAGATCAACAACGGCAGTCCTTTTGAATTCATTGGGACCGAAACCACATGTACCAACAAATATCGGTGATGGTTTAGGTAAAAAGTGCAATTGTTTTGGAAGCAATACCAGGTAACAACTACATTTTCAGGAGCGTTTGCAACCCCTCTACTTGTATGTCCCAATCCAGGAGAGAACACGCGCAAAGGCTCCAACACCAAAGCAAATAAGATGTTGTAGCATTCGTGC